GGCCGGCCGGGGAGCTCCCGGGAGCAGCAGCGCTGCCCACAACGGCTGCAGAACACCAGCACGTCTCACCGCGCCACAGGCTCAGCTCCCCAGAGCCTGCCTGCGCACCAACCTGCCCGTCCCTGGCACGTCCTCACCTTCTGCGCTGCGCTCTTTATTTTCCACTTGATGTCCACGGGCATGAACCCGCAGATGCCTTCTTGCCTGCTCCCGCGCTGGAAGAGCCAGCTGGCCAGGAACTGCAACGGGCCCAAGGGCAGCAGCTCAGCAGGACACTGAGGCAGGCAGCGTTGCTGGGGGAAAGGTGCCGGGAGGCGCAAGGCACACTCACCAGGCAGTTCTCATGGACGCAGAGCCCTCCTTTCTCGTGCTTCGGCCCACAGATGTCGGCGTTGGCGTCTGCCCGGCGGCACAGCATGCACGCTGGAGGGGAGAGAGCAAAGGCCAGCAGCACTGAGCACCCGGCCAGGGCCTGGGGACACGTCCCTGAGCGACTCCCGCAAGGCCCTGCTCTGTCCCGGCCCGGCCGGGGCCCGGGCAGCGCCGGAGCTGCTGCAAAGGTGCTCTGGGGTTGGCAGGGGACGGGCGCATGGCCCGGAGAGGGTGCCAGCAGGCGCCCGCGCCCAACCTGGGCGCCCCTTGCTCTGGGCCGCGGGCTGCAGGCAGCTGTGGGCATGGACACGGCGCCCTCACCCTGCTCCTGCGAGTCGGGAGCCTTCCGCTTCATGGCGGACGCAGGGCCAGTCGACGGAGCGCTCCGGAGAGTGCCGGCCACGCAGCGCCGGGGTTTCTCTTCCGCACGCTCCTCTGCTGACCCTGGGGGAGGAGCGGGACCAGGGTGAGTTTCCAGCACGGCGCCCCAGAGCCCCCCGGCACGGGCCCCCCCGGCTCCCGGGGCAGCCCCGCGCCAGCCCCTGCCTCCGGCCCTGCCCTCCTCTGCCCTCACCTCAGCACGTTGCTCGGAGCTGCTGCCTCCCAAGCGGGCACCGGCCAGAGGCGCCCAGCTCTTGTCAGCCTGCCTCGGGCCGCCGTGTCACAGAGCACCGCTGTGACCCAGGCGCTGCCGCGGGGCAAGCGCGCCGGCCAAACGGGGGCACGACAGCCTGCAGCTCCCTGCTGTGCGCTGGGACACGGCCACCGCCTCGCGACGGCCCGGGCAAAGGGCCCCGGTGGGGCCCGAGCCCTTGGCTAGCCAGGCAGAGAGGCAGGGGG